GACGACGACGCCGACGACGATGACGACGTCGACAACGCCGACGACGACGACGTCGACGACGACGAAGACGACGACGGCGGCGACGACGACGACGCCAACGTCGTCAAAGACGACGACGACGACGCCGACGCCGACGCCGACGACGACGTCGCCAACGAATACGACGACGACGAGCGAGGAGGGAGCACGACGACGGCGACAACGACGACAACGACGAGGGAGGAGGGAGGACGGCGACGACGCGAACGACGAAGAAGGAGGGAGGACGGCGACGCCGACGACGACAGCGACGAGGGAGGAGGGAAGACAACGACGACGACGACGACGACGGCGACGAAATAGGAGGGACGACGACGAGACGCCGACGACGGACGACGAGGACGACGAGGGAGGAGGAGGAAGGACGACCACGGCGACAACGACGACGGAAACGACCACGACGCCGAAGAGGACGACGGCGAACACGAGGAAAGACGGAGGACGACGTAGGCGACGACGACGACGACGACGCGGGAGGAGGGAAGACGGCGACGACGACGACGACGCAAGAGCGCGCGCGCACGCTTTTGTTGAAAATCCGCGTTGCGAAACCTTGTGTTTTTGTAGGTTTTTGGGACACACCTTTTTGAAATCCTTCCGAATCCGATGGGTTTTGAAGGATTTCGGCATACGCGCGCGACGACGCGGGCGTCTGCACTTTGTCACATTTTTTGCAGAGGATTCTCGCGACGGCACACGCGCAAAGGCGTTCGACAGATTTCGGCATGCGCGCGCGAAGCCCGTTTGGTAGCATTTTGTGAAAACCTTGGAAAACCTATGGTTTTCTTAAGATTTCGCAAGAGCTTGCGCGTAAGCTTTTTTAGCAAATCAGTGTTGCGAAACCATGTGTTTTTGTATGTGTTTGGGAAACTCAATTGCGAAACCCTTCCCGCACCGAAGGTTTTTGAAGGATTTCGGCATGCGCGCGCGACGGCGCGCGCGTGTGCACATCGTCCTATTATTTTGCAAGGGATTAGCGAAAAAGTGCTATGTTATAACAAAAAATGTCACCGCATAGTGTTTTTTTACAAGGGAACCTCAGGGGGGTCGATACAGGCCCCCCTGGGATAGTGCAAATTCATATTTAGGATGGACATGTGGTCATAATCATAAATGATTTGCATACCCGAATGGGGTAGCGATAACTCCGGGGGGGTAGAGTCTATTCTCTTTTAGAAAAGAGAATCTACGCGGTGCATTCTATATGCGGTGCCATCTATACGAGGCGGCGGCGGGGGGTGACGGCGATAACATAGACGCCAGACCGCCAGACAGGCCCAGACGACGGGCGGCGACGAGGCAACGACAAGGCGGCGACGGCGGCCACATAGCCGCCAGACCAACCGTCAGGCCGAGACGACAGGCGGCAACGAGGCGGCGACGGGGCGGCGACGGGCGGCGACGAGGCAGCGACGGGGCGGGGACGAGGCGGCCACATAGCCGCCAGACAAGCCGTCAGGCCCAGACGACGGGCAGCGTAGGCGGTCACATAGCCTCCAGACCGACCGTCAGGCCCACTTCCTCAGCAAAGAAGTAAGAAACCCTAAGTGCAAGCACTGCTTGAGGACTGTATGACTGTTTGTCACATCACTAGATTCAAGGTGCAAGACCGTGGATCGTGCGAGCTCACGCTCTAGTCGACGACAAGTGTCTTATCCATACAATGTTCCTTCTCCAACTCGTGCTCCCAGTCCGTTCCAGCCTCTCCTTCCACCTCCCTCTCCCAGACCCATTCGCGCCATGGAAAAACAAGATGGTAGGCTGTTGGCAGTTCTCTGCCTCCCAGGCCCCTGACTGGGCACTCGGGCCGTCAAAAACCACCCCGGGGAGAAGGTCCAGACATCTGGGGGCCCGGGCTGTGAACAAGGCACGGCGCCTGGGATCTGGGACTCCCCCTCCCGCGCGGAGGGGCCGAGGTGAGAGGTGAGGGCAAGCCTTGCACTGCTGGCTGCTGTGAAGAAGACCCCTGGACACCACGAGGGGGACGAAGGCCGAGGCGGCCAGACGCTGCTTTCGGTACAAGCCTGACCTTGCTGCTTACGGCTCCAGCCGGGCAGGAGGCACCGTCGGGAGGACGGCTCGGTGCTGCTCGGATGCCACCACCATCGGGCTCCTGAACACGCGAGCCGCGGGACACCTGCCCCTGGCTCGAGTCCCACGCGGCCGGCGCCTGCAGCCGACATGGCCACTCGAGCTGGGCTGCGCTTGCTAAACCCCCGGGTTACCCTATCCTGCCTGCGCTGCAAGCAGTATCCAAGTCGGTGTGCACTGGGAGAACTATCCCCCTCACCGATGCTGGCCGGATCGACCACGGGCCCACGATCGGTGACAAGAGCCTTCGTGACGAAGCCAGGTGGGCGCACATTACATACCGATCCTGGACCAGGATGGGCCTGGCCAGGATCGGCGATGTGGGCACGGCGTGCTCGTGCAGTGAAAGTGGCATGAGCGTGTTCTGAAAATCGTCGGCGTTGGTTCCCGACACTTCGAGTAGGGGGTCGAATACGGACTTGCTTCACCCCAGAATGGACTGTCTCGTCGACCCCGTGAGAAAGATATGCAGAATTGGCCGTAGATCTGCGGAGCCTTCTGCGCACGTTCCGCAGAGATCCGACGGGAGATCCACACTGGGGTACAACGACTCTGTCGTCGATCCCAAAATCGAACGCTGCGTGGATCGTTCAACGCCCACCCTGGCAGCCACCGCCATGCTTGCATGGACGCTGTGTGGGCGCTTTCTGCCCCTGGCCCTGGCATCCACACTCAGTGCAGCTTGCAGCTCGCTTGAGGCGCCGCTTAGGCAGCTTAGGCAGTTTAGGTGCGCGGCTCTAGTTTGCTCCTGTTGTCAATTAGTAGGCCCGCGCCCCGGACTTACGACTCGCCGCTTGCGCTCTCGCCTGCGGCCGCGACCAAAAAAAAATCGTTCAACGCCCTCACTGATCGCGGCCTCCCGAGAGCGCCGAGATGGCTCCACGCCGGCCGCTGCCTTTGGCCACTGGCGGGGCTCACGCCTGGAACGCCTCTGCGCTCTGGGGCCGCCGCCCGGCCACAGCGCGGCGCGGGCCCGACGCCCGCGCGGGCACGCGACCCCGGTGGACCCGGAAGGCTGGCCATCGCTCGGACGTCCATTCCCTGTGTTTTTGTTCGGTTTCGTGCGTGGTTTTTTCGCCAAGTGATCAAGGATGCTCCTCGATGGTCCTCGCCGAAAGAAACATGCACACGTCCGAGCGATGCCAAGCGGAAGGGGGCTCCAGCGCAGAGGGGGTGGTGCAGTATAGGCCTGGCGCAACAGATCTGTGGGGGTGCAGTCGCTGCGGGGTGTGCAGGACATTCCAGGGCGCAAATGTAATGCGGGATGACGATGAATAAAAAATTAAAGAGAACGATTAAGAAAAACATAGTTTCCTGCGATTTCTGCACAAGCTTCTGACTGGAGGAGAACGAGTTTTAAAAAGTGTTCCAGCCCGCGGACGGCTTTTTCCAATCGTCCTCCCGGGCGCCGCCGCGTGCACACGACCCCCGGTCATTTATTAATCGTCATCCTCCATCAGGCCTGGCGCAACAGATCTGTGGGGGTGCAGTCGCTGCGGGGTGTACAGGACGTTCCGGGGCGCAAATGTAATGCGGGATGACGATTAATAAAAAAATGAGAGAGAACGATAAAAAACATAGTTTTCTGCGATTTCTGCACAAGTTTCTGACTGGAGGAGAACGATTTAAAAAAAAAAAAAAAAAAAAAAAGTGTTCCAGCCCGCGGACGGCTTTTTCCAATCGTCCTCCCGGGCGCCGCCGCGTGAACACGACCCCCGGCCATTTATTAATCGTCATCCTCCATTAGGCCTGGCGCAACAGATCTGTGGGGGTGCAGTCGCTGCGGGGTGTGTAGGACGTTCCGGGGCGCAAAATGCATTGCTGCATTTTCGCGCGCAGGACATCGGCTGCAGTACAATGCAATACAGGGCTCTGGCGCAACACATGTGCAATACAAGCATCCCAAATCCATTGCACGACCTCCTTTCAGCTGGACCCCCTTGTGGGTCCCGAGGAATGACCCCCACCCACCACTTTCGGAGCTCCACGCGGAAACCGAGCAGGGGATCGACCACATAATTGATATACCGCAACATTCATTCCCTCGCCGAATATACAGAAAAGACGCCGCATGTTGCATGGAGTCGACGAAAAAAACAATTCGGGAGCAAATCGATTATGTTGACGATCTCCTACTCGAGGAATTCCTAAATCGGTGCTGGAACCCCACTCCGATGGCGCGCGGAACGCGCCAGTGGCGGCGCCTGAGGTGCCGCCAGGGAGGCCCCCCAGGCCGATGCGAGCAATCCGCGGGGCCTCCGAGTCCCCAGACCCCCGCCGCCGTGATTCTTCCACAACGCGGCTCCCCGGAGGTCTTGCCCCCTTCCTCAGGACCACCGTTTCGTCCCGAATTGTTTTGTCACAATCCCACGGCCCAGCGAAGGCCTCGAGAGGCCGAAAATTGTCCCCCCCCCCCGTAGCGATTCCCCCGCCACAAGAGGACGCCCTTGGTGTTCGGCTCGGCTCTCCGGCGGTCGCTCTGGACGATGCGGGCACCTCCAGAGCGCCCTAGACGAGGCGAAGCTGCTGCAAGGCATCCCGGGGCTGGACAAAAAACGCCCCGAGAGGCCGAAAATTGCCCGAACCCTACCGTCGTGCCTGTTTGCCCACCACGCGAGAGGGGCCTGGGTTCCTCTGCGGGCAAGGCTTGTGCCCAGATCCGGTGCAGCTTGGAGTCTCGGGCTCCATCCCCTAGAAGCCCGAGGCGCACCGGATGCGGATGAAAGCGTGGCCCCTAGAGGCTCGATGTTCATCCCTATCCAGTGCGCCTCGGCCTTGCAGCGTCCCTTTTCAAAAAAATGCCAAGACGCACTGGATATGAATATAAATATTGCCCGCATCCTCCACCCCCGATTCGTCGGCGCCGCGGCCTCGGCCTCATCCCGCGGGCTGCCCCCTCGCTCGGCCCCCTGGGGAGGCACGTCGGAGCCCTGCAGGGCGCGCGCCACGAGGGCGCTGAGCACCACGCCCGCCTCGTAGGACCTGCCAGGGGTTGAGCTGGATCGAGCCGCGAGGTCTGATCGCAGAGATCCTCCTCCTCCTCCTCCTCCTCCTCCTCCTCCTCCTCCTCCTCCTCTTCCTCCTCCTCCTCCTCCTCCTCCTCCTCCTCCTCCTCCTCCTCCTCCTCCTCCCCTCCTCCTCCTCCTCCTCCTCCTCCTCTCCTCCTCCTCCTCCTCCTCCCTCCTCCTCCTCCTCCTCCTCCTCCTCCTCCTCCTCCTCCCTCCTCCTCCTCCTCCCTCCTCCTCCTCCTCCTCCTCCCTCCGCCTCCTCCTCCTCCTCCTCCTCCTCCTCCTCCTCCTCCTCCTCCTCCTCCTCCCCCTCCTCCTCCTCCCTCCTCCTCCTCCTCCTCCTCCTCCTCCTCCTCCCCTCCTCCTCCTCCTCCTTCTCCTCCGCCTCCGCCTCCTCCTCCTCCTCCTCCTCCTCCTCCTCCTCCTCCTCCGCCTCCGCCTCCGCCTTCCTCCTCCTCTCCTCCTCCTCCTCCTCCTCCTCCTCCCTCCTCCTCCTCCTCCTCCTCCTCCTCCTCCTCCTCCTCCTCCTCCTCCTCTCCTCCTCCCTCCCCCTCCCCTCCCCCTCCCTCCCCTCCTCCTCCTCCTCCTCCTCTCCTCCTCCTCCTCCTCCTCCTCCTCCTCCTCCTCCTCCTCCTCCTCCTCCTCCTCCTCCTCCTCCCCCACCGCCTCCGAGGCTCTGACACAAGTGGAGCGGCCAGTTCTTGGCAGCTCTCGGCCTCGAAGGGCCCTCAACGGCCCCAGGACGGTCAATGAGCGGCTCAGGACAGAGAAGTGGTTCAGGGCTGCGGGGGTCAGCGCCCGATGTCCGGGATCGGATCAGAGACGGATAGGACCGCGAGCGAATCGTCTCCAGTCGAATCGACATCCCAACCCGTGCCTGGCTCCGGCTGGCCCTGGCCGATGCGGGTAACCCGGACAGAAGCGAATCATAATCGCAGCCCCAGCGGGAGAAGCGACTCGCATCAACTCGGATCGTAGGCGCCACTGCCTGTCGTCGCCGAGCAGCAGGAGGCCCTGCTCCAGCAGCCAGCGCTGCATCTGCTCCGAGAAATGCTGCTGCGCAGGCCGTGGCTGCAGGGGCTGCTGCTGCAGCTGGTGCTGAGCGGGGGGAAGAGACGACAGCGCAGACCTAAACGTTCGAAGATCCACGCGGATTTCTTGGATCGGCGCTCGACCTCCCTCTCTCTGGCGCGCGGAGCGCGTCAGGGGCGGCGCTAGAGGCGGCGGCGCCACGAGGGGGTCCTGCGCCGATCCGAGAAATCTGCGCGGAGCTCCGAAGGTGTATGTCTATGTAGTTGTTTCTCCCTCGGGCTGCGGCTGCTGCTGAGCGTGGACAGGACGCGGCGTGTGTCGAGGCAAGAGGCGCACCTCCAGAGAAAAGGTAGCAGCAAAGGTAAAAACAGCTGTGTAAGGTGCGCCCAGATGTCTTTGGTCGGCGCTGGATGCCCCCTGGCTCCCACCCCGCTTCCCTGGCGCATGGGGTGCGTAAGGGGCTGCGCCAGCGGCGCCGTCAAGGGGTGTGAAGAGCAGGGGGTCGGAGCCGGCTCAAAAAATCCACGCTGACCTCCGCAAGCTGATGTGTATGCCGTTCTTTGGTCTTCGAGCACCTCCACTGTCAGCTGGTGGGGGCACTCTTTAGGCAGCTGCACCGTGGCCTCGAAGTGCCCAAGCAGTACGACCAGCAGGAAGGCCTGGAAGCACACGAGGGTACTGTGCATGAGCCACGTGAAGCCGTACGGGTGAAAGAACACGTAGTACGCGTCGGCGACGTGCACCAGTATCAGCGCCCGCGGGAAAATATACCTGAGCCCCCAGAATGTATGCTGCGCCTCGAGATGGGCGAAGCGCAGTGCGCGATGACCCGCGCGGCCCCAGCGCCCAGGGGAAGAAGCGTGCGGGGAGAGGAGAGGAGGATGAAGGCGCCTCTGGAATAGTCGCCCCTGGACCTCTCGGGGACGCGCTCAGGCTGGGATTCTCACCCGGAAATCCAGCAACGCCCCCCCTCGAAAAATCCCCCGCCTGGCCAGTCCTCTCCAGCGGTGCGTGATGGAGAGGCCCCCCCGGAGGCCCAAACGCTGCCAGACGGGCCCACCAGACCTCGATCCGCGAGGTCGAAGCCCTCCGCCCTCGGGCGGAGGGCCAGGCAAACGCAGAAGGCGCCTACCATATAGTATGAGCTCGACCACAAGAAACCTTCCACAAGAAACCCATTCCTGAGACCCCAGGACGTACAATGTTTTTTGGTGTAGGTACGTCACGCTTTCCGTAGTAAAACCATCGAAACCCGGGAAAGCCTTGTGCCCTCCTGGCAACTCCCAGCCGAGGACGTGTTTTTGTTCAGTGCGCGGCCCCAGAGGTCCCGACCCTCTCCCCAGGAAAAGTCGTCCCACTGAGATGGCCGCTGGGGGTGCTGAGGGGATAAGGGGGCTAGAAGTGGATGCTAAGGTGGATTATGTCTGGGCTAACCTGGCTCATATATGGATTACAGCTGTCCTACATTGTTTGGGGAGGGCCGAACAATTCTGCTGAGTGGGCGGAGCCCACTTAGTTCGGATCGTGAACCCCCTAACCCATTTAGGGCACGTGTAGCCTACTCATAAGCTAGGTTAGGCCAGGTATATACCAACCTTAGCATCCGCTTCTGAGCTCAGTACCCCCTCAGCACCCCCAGCGGTCATCTCAGCAAGACCATGTCTGATGGCCCCAAGTCCCCCAAAAGCGGGTCCCATGCCAGTGTGAAAAGGAACCGCGGGGACTTGAAACGATCAGATGGTTGGACATCTGGCGGAGGGTTGATGCACCAGCCTGGGGCCCGGGATGATGGCCCTGTCCAAAGGTGGTCAAGGGCGTTTGCTTAGTGTGTCGCGCCGCCGGCTTTGGCCCACCGCGAGTCGGCTCGACGCGCGAAGCGCCCTTCCCAGAGCACCAACACCCTGCGCTTCTGCAAGCCGCCCGTCCCACGAAGCAGAGCGACACACTACATCAGCTTGCAAGCCATTAGCGTGACGCTGTGGGCGCCGCCGCGACAAGCTACGCGAACATTCCTGACTGTAGATGCCCCCTGCGTTTGAAGAATGAGTTTGCTAAGGCTTCCGGCTGCACACCGATAGCCCCCCACAGGTGGTCCCGGATGGCCTGAAGAGGCACCCCGAGGAGTCCAGCCGCCGGAGGCGGCGCCAGGGTCTTGAGACCGCCCTGGACTACTCGGGCAGCCTGTTGAAGCCAACCAGGGCTACCTGGGGCTTTCTGCGCGCAACCCGAAGCGTTACGTACCAAATGAGTGGGTCGGAGCTGGGTGCCTGGACTCCTCCGCGCGCAGCGAACACAGCGCGCACACCTCGCCTACAGCCAGGCTGGCCAACAGCGCCGCCGCATCCTCCGCCAGCCAGCCTGGACAGGAGGGCACGCTGCGCTTCAATATCGACCGTCGGTGCTCGAGAAGACCGTATATTTCTAAACCCCGTCGCGCCGTGAAAACATCATGCTGATCGGTGTTCTACTATTTTCGGCATCTGGGGGTTCTCGCCGGGCACGGGTACAGCCAAAAACTACTGAGGATGAAAGGCGGTGCCAGGGAATGGATCCAGACCTCCAGGGGTCCGCGTTGTGAGCAACATCACAGAAGTCGGAGGTCCCAGATTCTTACTTACTGCGTACTGCTGGGCCCTCATGGACGCCTCCAGAGGCATCCACAGGCGTCTGGGGGTCAGGATCCGGGGCGCTGGCCCTGACGCCTCCTCCTTGTCGTCTCCGATCTCCATATCTTCCACCTCACGTATCATTCCTCTTCTCCTCACCCGCCTTCGCCCTCCGTCCTCGAGGTCGCAGCCTTTCTCCTCCACCTTGCTCTCAACCTCCGCCCTATCGTGTCACCTCCCGGACCTACGGTCAGGAACTTTCGGACAGCGTGTCGCAGCGGCGGCCCCGGCGAAACGCTGTGCCCTACGAGCGGATGGCGTGTCGCTCCGCTCCGCGGGGCGGGGAACGCTTGGGGCCGGGATGTGGATAGCGTGTCGCGCCGAAGCGCGGTGGGCCAGAACCAGCGGAGCGACACGCTATACAGCGTGTCGCGCCGAAGCGCGGTGTGCCAGAACCAGCGAAGCGACACGCTATCCAAAAGCACCCGGCCGTAGGTGATCGTTCTGTGGGCCTTCCTGGAGCCTCTCGCTCCACTCGTGCGCCGATGCTGCGTCGAACGTTCGTCGACTCGAATCGCACTTGAATTGAACCTGAGTCGACCTTCAGCCTGGTTGGGGCCCCCACAATCCGAAAATAACAAAAAAAACTCCCGGAGGGAGGAGGAGGGAGGAGGGAGGAGGGAGGAGGAGGGATGAGGGAGGAGGAGGGAGGAGGAGGGAGGAGGAGGGAGGGAGGGAGGGAGGGAGGGAGGGAGGGAGGAGGAGTTTTCATGACTCGAGGGGGTCTGGGAACGCCCACCTATCTGCTCGTCGAGAGAATGTTCTCTCCCAGCTGAGCGCGGGGAGGGGTGTCTCTGGTCGCGGCAGTGGGTCGCGGCAGTGGGGTGTCTCTGGACGGCGTCAAAATGCACCGGCAGCATGGCCGAAGCAGCAGGGAGGACGCGCGCGACCTTTGGCCGAGAAGTGGGAATCCTGGGCACCGCGCGCTGGCGAGGCTCTGGAGACGCAGCCAAGAAGTGAGGGTGCTTGGCTCCAAAGTGTCAAAGCATCCCTGTCCTCCACCTCCTGCAACTCCTCCTCCTGCTCTTTTGCCTCTCCAGTCCTCCGATCGTCCAATCGACCGATCCTCCTCCGCCCTTTTTCTACTCCTCTTCCTCCTTCTCCTCCTCCTCCTCCTCCTCCTCCTCCACCTCCTCCTCCTCCTCCTCCCCCTCGCCTTCCTCCTCCTCCATCGCGTCAAGTATTCCTCCTCATCCTCCTGTTTGTTGCTGTCCCTTCCTTGCCATTCGTAGTCCTCCTCCTCCTCCTCCTCTTCCTCCTTCTCCTCCTCCTCCTCCTTCTCCTCCGCCTCCTCCCCTTCCTCCTCCTCCTTCTCATCCTCCGCCTCCTCCTCCTCCTCATGCTCCAACTCCTCCCCCTCTTCTTCCTCCTCCTCCTCCTCATTTTCCTCCTCCTCCTCCTCCTCCTCCTCGTCCTCCCCCCCTCCTCCTGTTGCTTCCTTTCCTGTTCCACCCGGTGCTCCTCTTTGACTGTCCCCCGTCCATTGTCGCAGTCCTCCTGCCTTTTTCTCGACGTGGCCCCGAGGAGGTCTGGACCCACGCCCCAGCCTGTGCTGTCACTGTCTGCTCATGTTGAGAAGCGTTTACCAATAGATTTAGTTGCAGCGCTGCGACGACCGTCGTCATCCATGGGACGCGACAGACACTGAAACCAAATGCCATATGCCTATACAGCTCTGCACTGCAGCGACAAGTCTACTCGAACTCCTACGGCGTTGCGCATCCGCGGGGGCTTATGCCTGGGCCGCGCAGAGCTGAACGGAACGCGTCCGAGTGCAACAATGCCGCACGTGCCCTCAGCACGCACCCGCACGCAGCAACTCGCAAAATTACGGGACGGCCCTCAGTGCACACTACCCAGGCGACGCGGAAATGTTAGCCCGATAGGTTGATCCGAACCCGCGCAAGATCCCCTCAATACAAAAGCATACCACCTGACTGCACCCGAGGCTCATAACCTCATGCTGGCTATGTCATGGACAAGAAGAATGAAGCTCAGGAGGCAGCTACCGCCAGAATTTTGTCCATCTCCCTACGCCGCCTCCCTGGTTGTGGCCCAGCACATAGCCGCGCTGAAGATGCACGCCTAGTCGCGCTCCTGCGGTACTGCGCATTCGCGAAGGGTTGGTGCAACCTGCATTGAGCGGAAACTAATGTGCGTGTGCGCGTGTGAAACACTGACCTGAACGCGCAGGCGCAGCCTCCCGTAAACTTCTGGGGCGCCAGAGGGCCGCAACGTGAGATGGCAACTTGCCGCGGGTAGCGACCCGCGACGCATGCAAGCAAAACCTCGTGTTAGTTGCCGGAGATGCTTTTGTCGAGCAGGTCGCTGCGGTCGATGAGCCGGCGCACACACCGGCACCGCCGAGTTGCTAGCCAGGTTGGCGTGGAGGCGAAGGTGCGGTCGATGCGGCTGGCACTGGGTCCAGCGGGACCTTCTGCCACATTGTGAGTGGTCATCATGGGCCTCCGCCAACTCTGCAGACTCTCGCCCCACCTGCGAGCGGCATGGTCCATGCGCGTGTATTTGTAGGCTTCGGCGAACAAGACGTCGCTGCCCACCTCTGGCGAGCGCAGGTGGACGGCCGGCTTGTCGGAGAAGCTGAGGTCGCCCATGACAAGTGCGCGTTCAGGTGCAAGCTGGCAGCGGGCATGGTCGGCGTGCATCCCTTCTTCTATGGCGTCAAGGTCGTCCGCGTAAAGGCCGACGTTGTGGGGGCTGTGAATGATGAGGCCTGGCCCTTTGCAGTTCCTGTCATCGTCGCGCTGCATTATCAGACGTGCACGCAATTCTCTCCCATAAACCACTCGCGTTGGTTTAGCGCTCTTGAACTGGTTGCCCAGCTTTTGATCGAAGATCACTACTCCGCCTGCCGCGCGCGATGGTACCGAGCAGAAAAAAGGCATGGCATTGCAGAGTATGGACGCAGTGCAGAGCTCGACGTAGTCATTGTTCTCGGCCGTGAACTGCCTGTAGAGCCCATAGTGTGGACCTGTGCATCGACGCCCTTGCGAGGGAGTTGAGCTCGGCCTTGCGCTGTTCAGGGCCATGCTGAATGGGGGGCGCGGCAGTTGCACAATGCATCGTGGGCAGGAGCTAGTATTCCATCTTCTCATTCTCCACCTTTGAAAACTGCCGACTCCTCCTCGAACACCAGAGGGATGCAAGGGATCTACCAAGGATCGAAGGCCGTGGCATAAATGCCATGCGACGTCGGCGTCGCCGGGTGGCTTGGCAAGCCTTCGAAGAAGTTGCTCGCGGCGGCCTCTTCCACGGGTTGACTGCCAATTATCCAGCGGCCGCGCGATTCCAGTATAAGTGTGGTATATCGTCAGGTTGTCTGCCCACTTCCACCCTTGCAACGGGCAGGCATTTCAATATAACTTGGCCTGTATAACGATCGAGTCTCAAATAGTTGTGCGAGTAGGTGTTCTTGAGATGTCCATAGGCCTTCTTCGCGAAGATAGGTGTGCATGTTTGTCGAGGGCTTTTTTTTCCAGATCGCTGTAGATCGGCGCGTCGGCGTCGTTGGGGGTAGCAGGCGCTGTTCATGTTCTCCACGCGACATCTGCTCTCTTGAGTTTGGCCAAAATCTTTGCGGCAATGTATGGCGGCTGCAGCTTCGCGTCCTTGAAAGTGAATGTGACATCTTCTGGCGGGCTCGTCGTCGCTGCCACTCGAGAGAGGAACTTGCGCCAGCGTTCGCCCACCAGCGCAGACACCACGAAGCCAAGGCGCGAGGGCGTCGACGAGCTCCTCATTGGCGATGGGCGAGGGCGTGCTGATGCAGAGTAGGCCAGAGTCGGGCTTGCGATCGTATCTGGGAGAAGCTCCTGTACCCAACATCCCCACCATTCTCTCAGCGGCTGTCAACTCTGTCTGAAGGTTTTTGCCGTGCGCCAGAGGTCGTTGGTCTGTTTCGGCTTCTTGGCGAGGGCAGAGCGCATGTCGCCGAGCTGTCCTTCGATGTGTGAATAGTGTAAGCTGCTTTGGGAGCCGTGCTCCTCTGCGATTTTGTTCCCAGCCTCCGCAACAGCTTAGACCGGAATTGCTGTGTGCTTGTTGACCGAGGCGCCGAGCTGAGCCGTGACCATCGTCTGGAGCTCGCCTTGGACTCGCGCGAGGAGGCCGCGTCGTCGTGAAACTCCGAATCGGTAGTGCTGTCTGTACCCGGTGAGGGTGCGATCGCGCGTCGCCGTGCCAGGAGAGCTTCTCATAGCTGTGGGAGGGTTGTCTGATGCGCTTGCTGCTCGCCAGGGGTCAGCTGCTCCTTGATGTGGGTCATGTCCCCGCAGCGAGCGAGTGGTTTTCTCTGTTCGGCGTCCTTCTGCAGCTCAGAAAAGTTGTATGCGAGGATAATTTGGTCGATTTTGCTTTACATCTGCCCCACGAGGAGGTGCCAGCACGATCGCCGTCAAGAGACGCCTTGCGAGCTGCGGGCGCGATGTGGAGTGGTGCTCTTCCAGGAGCTAACGAGATCTGGAAGGCCGGCACACCAGCAGACGAGCGTCAGGTGCGAAAGCATTCCCCAACAGGGTATCATATGATTGGGAGCTGGCCGCGGGCTAGTGGTATCCAGTTTTGTCGCCAAGGAAACTGAATATCTTGAGCCAAAGTAGCCTGAGCCAAAATCCGCCAGCCCCCCTGCGGGGCCATCAGGCTGCGAAGATTAGGCTTGCAGCTCCCTGTGCCAGATTGAATTTCCAGTTTCCACTGTTACAATCCTGCTGTATGCTTCCTTACTGTGTTGCTGAACGCGCGAAGGGGGGGAGCTGAAAAGCGACGTGGCTAGCACCCCCGAATCGCGTCGTCTGGATTCCAGGGGGTCGTGGGACACGCAAAAATACCTGATACTTGCGCCTCCGAAGCCATGATCCTTAGTAAATTACAACATATTCGCGTTCCCGAAGTCATAAGTCCTGGTAATTTACACTATTCGCTTCCCCGAAACCATAACCCTGGGTAGATAACGCAATGTTCGCGCCCCCGAAACCAGAAGCCTTTGCAAATTACACAATATTCGGGGCCCGAAGCCATAATCTTTAGTAGATTATGCAATATTCGCGCCCCCGAAACCATAATCTTTTGAACATTTTACAACCTTCGCATCCCCAAGGCCACAAAACCTCGCAAATTACACAATACTTGCACCCCCGAGACCACAAGCCTTTGAAAACTATCCGTGATCCGCGTCCCCGAGGCCATAACCCGTCGTAAATTATGTAACAGATGCGCCCCCGAGGCCATCTACCCTCGAAATTTGAATAATATTCGCGTCCCCGTGGCCACACACCTTTATCAATTACGCAAAGGTCGCGTCCCCGAAACCATACACCATAGTGAACTACTTAATGTTCGCGCCACCGATGCCAAACCTTCGTAAATTAACCTTGGCCCTCGCGTCAGCGTCAGCGTCCCGACATCCCAACACATATCTGGCAAGTCTCATTCTAAGAGAGGGGGGCCAGCGGCATGGGGGCGAAGCCCTTACGGATAACTACGGAGGGACGAGGAGGAGAAAGAGGAGGAGGAGGAGAAGGAGGAGGAGAAGGAGGGTCAGGAGGAGGAGGAGGAGGAGGAGGAGGAGAAGGGCGGAGGATCGGATTGGAGGATTGGAGGATTGGGGGGCAGAGAGGGGGGAGCAGGGGGGAAGGTGGGCGGGGAGGGGGGCGTGAGGAGGCGGTGAGGAGGAGGAGGAGGAGGAGGAAGAGGAGGAGGAGGAGGAGGAGGAGGAGGAGGAGGAGGAGGAGGAGGAGGAGGCAGAGGAGGAGGAGGAAGAGGAGGAGGGGACAGATTTTTCCACGACGCGATTTTTCACGACGCGGAGGGCTTCGAGTCCCGAGAAGACGCTGGCGGTGGCGGCCTGCGAGGGCGCAGGCGGCCAGCCCGAGCGCGGCGGGGAGCGAGGCCACCACCAGGGCCTCCAACGCCTCGGAGCGGGCTGACGCCGAGAGCCTCTCCGGGGGGGGGGGGGGGGGCGGGCGGGGACGGCAAGCGACCACAACCACATCAAGGGCACGCCCTGGGGGGTGCCTTGCGCATGCCAAGACCTGTCGAGACTCCGAAGCCGGCTTCGTGCGGGTAGTGCTCGGAGTGGCGTCCCAGGAAGGCCGGGTCGAGCACGACCACAACCAAAGTGCTCATGCCGAGGTCAGCAGGTTCTCCCTCGATGGGCCCTCCCGAAAATTCCGCGTTGCTGTTGGTGTTGTTGGTGTTGTTGTCGTTGTTGGCCTTGGTGCTGTTGAAGTTGTTGTTGCTGTTGTTGTTGGAGTCGCTGGCGTTGTTATGGGCAAGAGTCGTGAAATGACGGGGCTACTGAAAGGATGTGGGTGATCGCTGAGGTGGGTTCAGTCAGGCCGCTGAAATAATGAAGGCTACATAAGGAACGAAGCCCCTTTTGGGGGCACCAGCAGAACCTGGGTGCACGAGGAGGGGTAGATAAACAATCACAGAATGACAGCGAGCCCTTTCCGAACCCAAAGCGGTCATTACTTCAGCGTCTTGGCTGCAAAGTCTGAACGGATTGATGCCCTAAGTGGTCTAAGTGGGCGGAGCCCGCTTCGTCGTTTTGTTCAATCTCCCTGTGCTACGTAAGGCACTTGAAACCCTCGTGTAAGCTAGCTGAGTTAGGCCAGACATAGCCCACCTTACCATTGGCGTCTAAGCCGCCTTATACCCTGAGCAATCCCAGCGGTCATTTCAGTCCTCTCGTTGCGAAAGAATCACAAGGGTGGGTTTTGCTAAACTTCGGGTGCGTTCGGTGTGACAATTTCGGCCGACGAGATCAGTCGCTATCGAATTTGCCTCAGATTCTGGTTTCGGTCGCAACCGACTCGCGGTATAATCTGTTGCGACCGATCGGTCGCTACCGATCGCGACCGAGCAAAAATCCAGTACAGAATGATCTGGGGGTGTGCGCCCTGAGATCGTGGCGTCGCATTTTTCCCAAAGCAGCGATTTTGCCTTGTCCTTGGGCCCCCGAACACACACGGATCCATCCAGCTCGAAAACTGCGGCAGAAGCCCAAGCATCTGGCCGCTCCACTCGTTTCGATGCGTGGGCCCCGGAGGTCTGGACCGCTTCCTCAGGGCCGGTTTCTCGGGGATGGGCCATGATTTGGGGGGACTGGCATAGGGGGGAACATCGACCTGGAACCAGCGATACTTCGCCGATAGATCGGCGACGGGCCCTCGATAGCAGATCCTCACCAGCCTGGGCGGGTTGGGGCTATTGGGCCCGCATGGGCGATCGATGGGCGATTGGGGGTCGATGCAGACCCTGATCTGCCCATCCCCACGATCGTTGCCCCCGAAAGGGCGGGGGGGGGAGGGGCGCCGAGGGAGCCGCCGAGGGGCCACCGCGGCGCCGAGCCCGCTTCGTTGCTCACTTGCAGCCTCCGGGGGCCCTCACGCCCAGACCTCCTCCGCTATCCATTTTCGGCCCCTGGGGGCCCCTCATTGGGCCTCGCGGCCGTGAAGAAAAAAGACTCGGGATGAGCAACCGGCCACGGGGAACGAGTCGGGATGTCTATGTGGGGTCGAGGAGGACGAGGAGGACGAGCCAGAGGAGGAGGCGGAGGAGGAGCAGGAGGAGGAGGAGGAGGAAGAACAGGAGGAGGAGGAGGAGGAGGAGGAGGAGGAGGAGGGCGCCACGAGAGAATCATGATGTCGGCAGGAGGAGGATGAGGAGGAGGAGGAGGAGGCGGAGGAGGAGGAGGAGCAGGAGGAGGAGGAGGAGCAGGAGGAGCAGGAGGAGGAGGCGGAGGAGGAGGCAGGAGGAGGGGGAGGAGGAGGAGGAGGGAGGAGGAGAGGGGAGGAGGGAGGGAGCAGGAGGGAGGAGGAGGAGGAGGGAGGAGGCGAGGCAGGGCGCCACGAGAAACAAAATCGTGACGTCGGCGGCCTTGGCGCCTGGCCTCGGGGCCGTCGGGGGACGGCTCTCCGAACCCCCTCTGAGCCAGGATCTCTCTTCGTGGCGTCGATCCCCCCGGGAGTGACGGGCAACGACGGGGGGGGACTGGCATAGGGGGGGGAGGGGGGGGAGGGGGGAGGAGGGGGGAGGAGGAGGGGAGGAGGAGGAGGGGGAGAAGGAGAGGGGATGAGGAGGAGGAGGAGGAGGGAGGAGGAGGAAAGGACAGGAGGAGGAGGAGGAGGAGGAGGAGGAGGAGGAGAGGAGAAGGGGGAGGAGAAGGAGGGGGAGGAGGAGCAGGGGGAGGAGGAGGAGGATGAGGAGGAGGAGGAGGAGGGGGAGGAGGGAGGAGGAGGGAGGAGGAGGAGGAGGAGGAGGAGGAGGAGGAGGAGGAGGAGGAGGAGGAGGAAGACTCAGAACTCAGAACACGTACACGATGAACGCCTCCCTCGGGAGGCAGAAGTCGTCCTTGATTCCCCCCCTTCAGGCATCGGGACCTGCGGGGGGGGCTGCGTGCAACACTCGGTCAGCACGAGCGCGAACATCACCAGGCGCAGCCGCAGGATGTGGCGGGCAGTCTCCAGCAGGCGCCGCCGCGGGCGCGGCAGCACCCTCTCCTCCCTGGCCAGGAGGCGCAGCATGTGCGGCTGGTGAACTGCCACTCCCACCACTGGGCGCACCACCAGGGGCAGCAACTCCAGCAGCGGGTGCGCCATCTTGTTCTCCCATTCTGCGACGCTTGGCCTGTAGACGCTTGAGCTGTTCTGCCTGAGCATCTTTGAACGCTTTGGACTTCGCCGCAGCATCACCGAAAAGTTGTTGCACCGCAGCCTGGATACCTTCTTGGAGTTGTTCCAAACTCTTGGTGGCCTCGCGCTTGTCTTCGTCCGAAAACTCGTACTCCTCCTCCGCCGTGAGAAGGCTGTCCAAGCAGATGGGCAAAGTCTTCCCGCTGAGGAGGTCGTCGATACTGAGCTGTGGGCCAGGCTTAGGCTCCTGTCCGCAACCCGTGGACGGCTGCAACTGGCTGACGAGCGACTTGTGCTTTTCCTCGGCCACCTGCAACTCTGTCCTGAGGGTTCGAACACGATCACGTTGCTGGCCCAATTCGCCCTCGAGACGCTCGAAGGTGGTGAGGCTCTTCCCGAGCTTGGTCTCCAGCGCGCGCATCTCGTTGAAGGCACGGTTGACCTGGTGCTCCAGAGGGACCATGGTCTTGGCCTCGTCGTTCTGGCGCTGCAGCCGAATGTCGAGCTCCTTCTGCCACTTCTCAGCGGCCTCGGGGTCGCCCATGCCGCGCAGCTGGTCGACGTCGGAGAGCTGGGTCGCCGCAGGCGGGGGGCCGCCCCCACCAGCCTGGAACTGAGGGCCAGGGCGACGAGGTAAGCCATCAGCATGAGCGGGGCTCGCAGCGAGTGCCCACGACCCTGGAGGCGCGGGACCTCCTGCAGCGGCTCCCCACACGCCTTGCGGCTGAGGCCATGGCTGGTCCATCCGCGGGGTCGCACGCCAGGCCCAGCAGTTCTTGCACTGCTGCCATCCTTGTTTATTCTTCTTGCATCCACACGAACTGCACGTCCATGTAGATCCTGGCGAGAAGCCGTCCCAGTGGCCCCAGCCGCTCTCAGGCGAGCGCGCCGCGCGCCATGGCCAGCTGGCAGCCCGCGGAGGGGCAGCACGCTGGACGGAGCCTGGCGGCGCCATGGCGGCAAGGCAAACTGGGCGAGTGAAGGTATCTTGTCTGATCGCTTGGCTCGCAGGAACGCGTGCCCTTCTGAAGAACGTCCCTGCAACGCAACTTGGCGCAGAAGGGCTTGAGCCAAAATGGCTACGGAGGAGGAGGAGGAGGAGGGGGAGGAGGAGGAGGAGGAAGAGGAGGAGGAGGAGGAGGAGGAGGAGGAGGAGGAGGAGGAGCGACACTGGCCAGCAAGGGAAGGGCGGACAAGGGAAGCAGGACGATCCAAGCAGAGAAGAGCGAGAGACAGCAACAAAGGAGGAGAGACAATCCGCTGCCCTTCTAGAGGGCTATCCCACCATCGGACAGCGAGGCGAGCCACAACGCAGCTGGGACTCACGACCCCGTACATCTACCATAAAAGTTACGGATAGAGTCATCTCTCGGTGCCAACTGCTGCAAACGAGCCTCGGCATGCTTCCGCAACCGGGCCGAAGTTATAGAAGAGTGTTTTAAATCATGGTAGGCTTTGCTGTATATGTCGAGGGCTAGAACAACGGAGGCAAGCGTCTCGTGAGGCATGGGAAAATGACGCCAAACACACAAGCGATCTTGCCATCCACCGTACTGGAAGAAGTTAGGGAGAAGGGGGACAAGGAGAAGAAGAGGTTCAAAGGTGGGGCAAACAACAATGTCCCTCAGACAATCGCCCCGGGGGGCATTGCAGGCGCGGCAGCGCTGTGCAATCCCGAACCGACTGGTCGTGCACCACGCATTGCACAACGTGCGAAGGAAGGAGGAGAGGACACACAGAGGGAGGAAGGGAGAAAGCTCGGTGATTACCGTGGTCAGGGACATCTCCTGATCCTGAGTCAGGTCAGGGTCAAACTTCCGAGCACGTCGCACAAGCACTGTGTTGCACGAGTAGCTGGAAGAATCTATCAAAAAGGCCTCAACCTTCTTCTGACGGTGGGAGGAAGGAGGAAGGAGGCCCGGCAGAGAAGAAAGGGAATGCCAGTTTTCGAGCATATGTCGAAAATGCGATTCCCGCCAAAACGGCTGGAATTTCCATGCAATGACACAGTCGTCGGAGGAGGCAAAATCTTCGAGCAGGGACTTGATGTCAAAGAACGCTTTAGAATGCTCGGCAGCACGGAACAGAGCAGCCCGACCAGCGTGCTCCAGGCACCTACCGTGGAGGGGAAGACCGAGGGAGCGGAGGGAGCAGAGGAAGGGGGAAGGGAGGGCAAAACGCAGGGCAGAAATCACAAGAGGAGGAGGAGGAGGAGGAGGAGGAGGAGGAGGAGGAGGAGGAGGAGGAGGGTCGGGGCAGCGGGCTCTTTCGGCAGCCCCCGCGGCGGGAGCCTGGAGCGCGGCGCGCCCCGGAGCCGCAGGGCGGCGAAGGCCGCGGCGCGGACGGCCCCGGGGGGGCCTTCCTCAATGGGCGAGGCCGCGGCCCGGAGGAGACGTCCCGGAGGGGTCACGGCCCGCATAATGCGGGATGACGATTAATAAAAAAATGGGGGAGAACGATTAAAAAATAGTTTTCTGCTATTTCTGCACAATTTTTTGACTGGAGGAGAGCGATTAAAAAAGATAGTTTTCCAGCCCGCGGCCAGTTTTTTCTAATCGTCATCCCGGGCGCGGCCGCGTGAACACAACCCCCGGTCATTCATTCATCGTCGTGCAGGAGGCCTGGCTTCTGCCTCGGAGGTCTATACCTCCATGGGGGCCCTTTACCAGGCCGCGGGCCCGTCTGAGCACGGCGATCGCAGCGAAGAGCCAGCCCTTGGGGAGGGGGCCGGGGCTTCGGGGACCGCGCTTTGGAAAGAATATCCCGGCAAAGCAACCTAACAGCGATGTGTATACGCATATCTGGAAGCGTTCCCCTTAAGATTCAGGTGAGAATCCAGTTGTAGAATTCTGCTGTTCTCGCAGTCGCAGTCGCATGCGCAATGACCGTCGCAGTGGCAACGGCCTTAGGATCCAATGGAATCCTAAGGATTCCTAGGGATTCCTAAGGCATCCTTAGGCATCCTTAGGCATCCATAGGAATCCTTAGGAATCCTTGGGGATCCTGATTCCTAGGGATTCTTAGGGATTCCTAAGGATTCCTAGGAAATCTTGAGGATTCCTTAAGGATTCCTGAGGATGCTTAACTATGCCTACGGGTTCCTAAGGATGCCTACGGATTCCTAAGGATTCCTAGGGATTCCTAAGGATTCCTATGGATTCCTACGGATGCCTCAGCCTGCCTCAGTTTCAGCCTCAGCCTCAGCCTGCCTCGGCTCGCCTCAACCTCAGCCTCAGCCTGCCTCGGCCTCAGCCTGCGTCAGCCTCAGCCTGAGCCTGCCTCAGCCTCAGCCTGCCTCAGCCTCAGCCTGCCTCGGCTTGCCTCAGCCTCAGCCTCAGCCTGCCTCGGCCTCAGCCTGCCTCGGCCTCAGCCTCCCCTCCTCTCCCCCCCCTCCTCCCCCCTCCCCCCCCATTCAGCATCACCTTGTCTCAGCTTCGGCCTGCCTCGGCCTCATCCTCAGCCTCAGCCTCAGTCTCAGCCTGTCTCGGCCTGAGCCTGCCTCGGCCTCAGCCTCAGCCTGCCTCAGCCTCAGCCTGCCTAAGCCTCAGCGTCAGCCTGTTTCAGCCTCAGCCTGCCTCAGCATCAGCCTCAGCCTCAGCCTCAGCCTGCCTCGGCTTGCCTCGGCCTCTCAGCCTGCCTCGGCCTCAGCCTCAGCCTGCCTCAGCCTCAGCCTGCCTCAGCCTCAGCCTCAGCCTCAGCCTGCCTCAGCCTCAGCCTGCAGCCTCAGCCTCAGCCTCAGCCTCAGCCTCAGCCTCAGCCTGCCTCAGCCTCAGCCTGCCTCAGCCTCAGCCTGCCTCGGCCTCAGCCTCAGCCTCAGGCCTCAGCCTCAGCCTCAGCCTCAGCCTCAGCCTCAGCCTCAGCCTGCCTCAGCCTCAGCCTCAGCCTCAGCCTGCCTCAGCCTCAGCCTGCCTCAGCCTCAGCCTCAGCCTGCCTCGGCGTGCCTCAGCCTCAGCCTCAGCCTGCCTCGGCCTCACCCTGCCTCGGCCTCAGCCTGCCTCAGCTCGGGCATCCAAAATATGGCACAAGACTGGTGTTCTGGGAGCACGAACATCACGAAGCACAGTTGTCTCCGGGCATTGAAAATATGGTACAGTACTGGTGTTCTGGGAAGACGAGGAACACGAAGTGGCCTACAGCTGGCTCCGGGCATTCAACATGTGGCCTGGGAATGGTGTTCTGGGAACACGAAGAACACGAAATGGCTTACAGTTGGCTCCGAGCATTCAAAATGTGGCCTGGGAATAATGTTCTGGGAAGACGAAGAACACGAGGTGGCCTACAGTTGGCTCCGGGCATTCAAAATGTGGCCAGGGAGCGGTGTTTTGGGAGCACGAAGAACACGAAGTGGCCTACAGTTGGCTCCGGGCATTCAAAATGTGGCCTGGGAATGGTGTTCTGGGAACAGAATCTGAAGGAATCCATAGGAAACTATAGGAATCCATAGGAGTTCTGGGGAGTCACCGGTTTTCCCCGGCATCCCCCGGATCCTGCCCAGACCCCCCTGAGGAGTCAAGATGCTCTCTTTTGACCCCACTGGAAACCTATCAGTCTTCGCTGTTAGGTAAAAAGAACCGGGGCACGTCTGGGGGCACGCGGGAGAGAGAGGCAGGACAGCTCCCTGAGATCCTGGCGGTGTGGCCGCTCCGCTGTGAGGCCGTAGAGTTATGTCGGGCCTGTCCCCTACAGGGGGATTTCAACGAAAAATGAAAAATACCCCAACAATACCCCAAAAAGGCCAAAAAATACTTAAACACTAGTCCCCAGATTATGTTTGGACTACTTTTTTATTATTTTTTGGATATCTTTTATTTCTCGTTGAAAATCCCCCTGTAGGGGGACAGGCCCGACTTAACTGTAGAGACAAGCAATCATGAAAAGCCTGAGAAAGCATTGTTCCTCACAGCCAGCAACTGTTGCCCTGGGGTAGGTCTCGCAATTGCGACTACAGGAGGTCCGCGACCACCTCGGGCCAAAAAACCCAAACCAGGAACAAACAGCAGGAAATATTGGAACCAAAACCTGGGGAGGTCGACATCCTGAAAAAAACTCAAATACCAAACCTGCGAACAAAAACTCAAGCCCACAAAAAACTTTGGAAAAAAAACGTGAAACTCAAACCTGGGAAAAAAACTCCAACCAAACAAAAACTCCAGAACATCTCTAAACCGACACCTGGGAATAACTTTGGAACAACTCTCGGACAACTGCGGACAAACATTGAAAAACTCTGAAAACATCTAAAAAAACTATGGGACAACTCTGGGAATATTCTTAACGACTGAAAACTTTAAAACAAAACTCTGGAAACACTCTTTTAACAACCGTAAACGCTAGAAAACTATAGAAAAACACAACTCTGGAACAACTCTAAACAAACTCTGGCAAAACTCTAAAACAACTCTGGGAAAACAACCTTCCGGGTTTGAGTTTTTCCAGGTTTGAGCTTCACGTTTTTTCTACGTTTTCTGTGGGTTTGAGTTGTTCCCAGATTTCGGGTTCAAGATTTTCTGTAGTTTCTTCTGTCTTTGAGTTTCCCCCAAATTTTGTGTTTGAGATTTTCTCAGGTTGTCTTGGATGTTGAGGCTCCCATTCAAGATGTTTTGATATTTTTTGAAGTGTGAGTTCCCGGCCGAAGATGTTTTGAAGTTTTTGGCAGATTTTCCTATGGACCGCCTGTAGTCAATTGCCGAACCTAACCCTGGGGCCAGGGGGCCCTCACGCCCGATCCGGCTCGACAGCTGCTGCAGAAGCATGGGGTCAAGGGCGCCAGCCGAGGCACTTGCGACGATGCTTGCGTAAACTGCTTCGCCACGTTGGATCTCCGGGGAGTGGGGGAACAACACTGCCGTTGTAAACACAGACTGTCGGACTTCCGCGCGGATTTCGTGGAAGGGCGCTGGGTCCCCGTGTCGGCGCTTGCTGCAGAGGCCCGAATCCTCACGCGGGCCCCCGAAAAAGTGGGGAAGAGGGAGATACGACGCAATCAAATGCGTGCAGCTGGCTTCAACCCCTCCGCCGGGTACCTTCCTCGACACGTTGGTGACTCCAGCGGCGGGAGGCGCCGCGATAACCGACACCGCCTACGTGAGAGGCAGTTTCGTTAGACTTCGGCAAGGTTGCTTGCATGGAGGGGGGACCGGACGGGGGAGGGGGCGTGGCGAGGCCCGAAAGGACGCAACTTCCGCGACTCATTTGCACGCCTTTTCTGCCCAGTGCTATTGGAAGATCTGCGGAAGGAAAAGCGGGGGGAGAAACGCCGCGCCTGCAAGGTCTGCGGAAGGTACTGCGGAAAGGTACTGCGGAAGGTACTGCAAAGGTAGATACGGAAGGTACTGCAACAGCGGAGGGTACTGCGGAAGGTACTGCAAAAGCTTACCCGGGCCTGCAACAAAACGCCCTCTGAGCCGATCCGCTATGATCCCCCATGTCCCCCCCCTCCGCCTTTTCCCTTCCCCAGATCCTACTTCACGAACAATCTGAAGGGGCCCTGGGACACACAAATAAATACACACACATTCAATAATTCTCCATATTTTCCAAGAGTTTCGGGGTTTATGTCTTCCCCCCCACTTCCCATATCTTCCCATATTTTCCTGGGAGTGGACGATGAATTGTGTCTGTGTGTTTTTTCCGCTCCTGAGAACAATCTGCAACATCGTTCAGACGCTCGATCCGAGCCCTGGACCCTACTTTTACGTTGCAGCTTCTTGAGCCGCACCGGTCCGTGAGGGACTTGCGGGGCCCCGCAACAGGGCGAAGAGGCCCGCTGCGGAAAACATGTGGCGCCAGGATCTCAAGGTTCATCCGACCCTAGGGGAACAAAAAGTGACATAAACATAAAAACTCTGAGATCCGCGCGGATTTCTCGGATCGGCGTTGGACCCCCTCCCTGGCGCGCGGAGCGCGCCAGGAGCGGCGCCGGAGGCGCCGCCGGGGGGCCCCAGCGCCGATCCGAGAAATCCGCGCGGACCTCCGAGCTTTTATGTTTATGCCACTTCTTGTTCCCCTATATAAGCCCGCTGCTCGCCCAACGAAAGGGACCCCCCCGGGGGATGGAGGACGAGATCGCCGATCCGGCCGGGACCAGCACGACGAGCGCGCTGAGCAGCCAGACGCCCTTGAAGAGCCACCACTCCGCGCCCCTGCGGCGTGAGGAGGAGGGATTCGGAAGGCAAGAGGAGGGAAGGGAGGAGGAAGCAGAGAGAAGTCATAAGAAGAAACATAAGCAGAAGAGGAATCTCAGCACGAATGATAAATAATAGTAGTAAGAATAAAACATCACAATAAGAAGACTAGCACAAGTAATACTACAACCCTCGTCAAAAATAAACTGAGGGATTCTGTTTTCGGTGATTGTATGGTCAGCGCTACTCCAATGCTGACGCTAGATATCTGACGTGGACGCAAGGGCTTCCAAAATCCGACGACCCCTCCGCAGCATTGAAGAACGCAATTTCTAACAAGTGCCCGAGAAGATCGATCGTCGTGATTTACAACTTTGTTTCTGTTTATTTTTGACGAGGCTTGTAATAATGCGAATGCTGGTAAGATGAATCACAGTAATAACTTCTTAATAATAATAATAACAATAATAATAATAACGATACTACGAATCACACTAAGAAGGAGGAGGAAGAGAGAAGGGAGGAGGAGAGAGGGGAGGAAGGAGGAGGAGGTGGAAGAGGATGCTGGTGGAGGAGAAGGAAGGAGAGGGATGGGGAACGGGGCAGCGGGAGGGGGATGAGGAGGGAGAGAGGGAAGGAGGGAACGGGATAGTGGAGAAGGAGCAGGCCACGGGGAGTAGGAAGGGAAGACCAGAGTAAAATGATCCTGGTGAAGGACCCAACCATATGCAGCTGTGAGCACCGCGTTGTGGGTACCGCTCTCGGTGGAACCCCCCATGGGGCCGCGAGCCTCGGGAGGGGTGTGCGGACATTGGCGGGGGGATGCATGCAAACCCTGCCGCTGGGACCTTCGGTGGAGCTCCCTGTGGGGCCGCAATCATCGTGAGGGGTGTGCCGAATTGGGCGGGGGGACGCATGCAAACCCTGCCGCTGGGGCCGAGAGCGAGCGAGCGGGCAGAAGACAGGGCGAACGCATCGTGCAGATCGTGCAGGATGAGTGCGGTAGCCAAGCACGGTCCAGGCCCCTACACTTAGGTCGGGCATGTCCCCCTATAGGCGGATCTTGGACGAAACATAGAAATATGCATGAGACATTCAAAAATAAGTGAAACAAAAAACTATAAAATCGTCCCACCTAATTTTTGACTATTTTTGAATATTCCTGTAGAAGGACAGGCCCGACTTAGTCCTACACTGCCGGACTTACAGGCGGCAACAGGAGGGCCGAGGGAAGAGGAAAGGGGATGTCCGTTGTCCACCGACCCCCTTTTGCGGGGAGGCGCAAAGGCGTGTGAGATGATCGGCTGTTCTCCTCACCCTTTCCACCTCCCCCGATGTCTGACATTCAACTAGGGGGAAGGAGGGCGGGGGGAGGGGGGGCGAGCTCGCCAATGCTCCCCCGGGGCATCCGGAGCCTCCATTTGTACACTCCGTGGCTGCGAAGATGCCCAAGATTCCATCTAATGTTGCTCAAGCTGGGCTCCAACACGCAATGGAAGCCTCAACAACAACGCAGATTGCCTCAAGACGGCCCAAGAAGCCTCCAAGACGTCCCCAGAGAGTTCAAAGAGGCCCCCCAGAAAGGAGAGGCCCAAACCGCGCTAATTCGGAAGGAACGAGTGCATGTTTAGCAGATCCACCCACTTGACACCCTTGTGGTGTCAACACAGCGTCATGGCTCAGCGGGCCACCACAGTCGCACCAGGGCGGCCCAAGAGGCCTCCAAGAGGGCCCCAAGACGGCCCAAGAGAGCCTCAGAACGGCCCCAGTGGCGCCCAAGCGGACCCCAGAGACCGCCAGCAGGCGCCAGATAGACCCTCAAGAGGATCTATAGTGGGGACTCGGCCACAAGAAACCTCCGCAAGGAACCCAACCCTGAAATACGCGATTTGATCAATGAAGATCTACAGGTGTCGATCGAAAATCGTCATGATCTGATTGGGAGCCCATCAAAATCCAAGAAACCCAGGGCACCCTGGCAAAATCCAACTGGTTTCTTGGCACGCGCCCCCACTGTAAGAAGCCCCCACGAGAGGCCCCAAAGATGTCCCAATGAACTCCTCCAACGGCTCCCAAGAGGCAAAGCTTGCGGACTTCGCTTCCACCTCCTGGGACTCGGCGGAATGGCGCAGGCCACTTGAATCCGCCGGCCCACCAGGCTGAGGGGCGTGTGAGATTCAACTACAGTAGGGGCTCGACCACAAGAAACATCGCACAAGAAACCCAACCCTGAGACCCCAGGACGTCCATGGATTTTGGTGCGGGAACGTCGCGCTCTCAATGGCAAAACCATCGAAATCTAAGAAACCCAGGGCACCCTGGAGGCAAGCAGGGTCTTTCTTGGCATGGGTCTCCACTGTAAGAGAACTCTTGAGTCCCCCACCCTTTATCCCCCCCGGGAGCCCTTCGCCATTCCGCCGCCCAGCTGCATCCTGGCCCGCTTTCGGGCCTCAAGACGGCTCCAAGACGGCTTCCAAGACGAGCTCGTTTTTTTAAGATCGTTCTGAAGAAGCTTCCGGGCCGCATTTTGGCTTCATTTCGGCCCCGTCGGGGCCCCAGTCTTGGCCTCCAAAATCCGCTCCCGGGACCCTCGAGAGCGCTTTTTGGGCCCACTCTCGCCGAAAAGCTGGCATGTCAAAAGTATCGCAAATATTACGGTTGTTTGATGATTTTCGTTTCCCTGGGGGTGTCCCGGATGCTTCCTACAGCTCTCTGTCGGCCTCGTCTAGGGTATCCCTCATCTTTCGCATTTGGACGCCGATCTTGGGCGCGAGCCGGTGTCCATTTTGGAAAATTCGGGGCCCAATTTGGGACCCGAAACAGCCCAGAACAGGCCCCGTTATATTACTGCAGGACGGGCGGGGCGGCCCAATAAGCCGCCAAGAGAGCCCCAAGGCGACCCAAGAGGGCCCAAACACGGCCCAACAGCGATCAAAGACGCCCCACGAGGGCACCAAGATCGCCCCAAGATGGGCCAACAGGCCGCCAAGAAGGCACTGTAAGTGCCAAATGGGGCCCCAAGACGACCCAAGAGACGCTTAGGACGGCCCAAGAGGGGCTCGAGAGGAGGAGCCAGAACAGACTTCTCGAGCCCTCCGTCCCAAGAAACCCCACAGGAGGCCTCAAGAGGATCGAAGAGACCCCAGAGAGGCCTTACGAGGCCCCAACACTGCGCCCAAGAGGCCACTGGTGCCCAAATGGTACCACTTCAAGCATATCTTCACACTCTTGAGGCATCCAAGAGGCATCCCCGAAGCTCGAGGATACAGGCTGTCAGGGTTCACGCCTGGTATGAATGTGTCGTCGTCCACGTCGTCATCGTCGTCGTCGCCGTCGACAGACCCACCGACCCACTGACCCACCGACCGACCGACCGACCAGCCAGGCGCGAAACAACCACGGGACAACCCTGGGACAGACGCGCGGCACCGGCCGCTGACCACGCGAAAAGATCGGGTCAACCGACGGACCCACCGCGACCTGCCGGCAGGACACCACAGCCACATGCAGACGGGGATTCCCTGACGCGACCACCCTATCCGTTCAACGGCACCACCTCCTATGGCGGCAGGTACCCATCTTGGTGAAAGGACGCGAGCAAGATGGGACGGGCCCAACATGGGGGGCCCATTTTTGGCCCGGGGGGGCCCACAAGATAGGCCCGGACCCCCTCAGGGCACCTCCTGTGACGGCAGGCACCCGAGCATTCGGCGGACCCCTCGACAGCCCTCAGGCCCGTCTTCGCCAGCCCATTATGCCCTGGCCTGCCAGCGAAGCCTCCGCAGCCTGCCGGCGAGGCCACCACGGCCTGCCGGCGAGGCCTCCGCGGCCCGCCGACGACGCCATCCCCGGCCTGCCGGCACGGCCTCCGTGGCCTGCCAGCGAGACCTCCGCGCACTGCCGGCGAAGCCTCCGCCTGCCAGCGAGCCACGAGGGCTGGAGCTCGAGGCCCCTCCCTGGCGCGGCAAAGGCTGCGCCTCAATTCGTACCATGACCTACGCCGGCCATTACCCTGTTGCCTACGCCTGGGCCCCTCGCTGGGGCCTATAGGCGATGGGTTGGAGAAACACTTGGGCGCAGGCGAGGACAACAAAGCACACCTGCGGCCGGGGGGTCTGCATGAGCTTCTGCACATGATTCTCCCGTCTTGGAGCCGTCGTCGCCTCGTCCGGCGAGAATTGGAATGGGCGGGCGGTGAACGCGAAGCGTCTTGAATCAAATCCGACAAACGCACCCGAGACTGGGCACGCAAATCCCAGCCCAAAAACTTGCGGGCGAAAAAAATAGTTCCATATCCAAAGGCTCGGCCTCAAACGCAAACGTACAGGGCGGCCTTGCGCGGATGCGCCACGCGGAATGCACCCACAGAATCTTGGATCTCACCTCGGAATCCAGACTTCTGGATGTGTAACTGTTTTACAAAGTGGACCCCCCAAAGGTCTGGACTCCTTCCATGGGACAGGCCTTTCATCCCCAGCCATTGTTTAGCGCTTCTGGGGCCACCATGCAGCATCCAGACGCCGAAAACTGACAAAACTCTTCGCCGTCTTTTCTTCGCAACGAGGGGCCCGAGGGCACGAATATGGATACGGTCGGGGAGTTCTGCTCAGCGTGTCGCAGCGGCGGCCCTGGCGACACGCTGTGTCCTGCAAGCGGGTAGCGTGTCGCCCTGCTCCGCGTGGCGGGAGGCTGGGAAAAGCTCGGAACGCTGACGCCTGGGACCGGGAAGTGGTTCACGCAAGCGCCGAAGCGTGGTGGGCCAGAACCGGTGACGCGACACGCTACAACCCTCGTCAAAATTAACCTCAAAAATGTCTGACGTGGTTGAACTGCTTGTCGGAAGATCTGGGGCCGAGTATCGATGAGTGCGGGGTACTTGCATGCGCCGCCCCTCCAATGTCGGTCGACGTCAAACTTTCGAGTCACCTTCGGTCAGACTATCCTTGCCCTCGCCCCGACATGGAGGGGCGCGCCGACATCGAGATGACGTGCCAGCAACTGCTGAGGTTAATTTTGACGAGGGTAGTAGGCCGAAGTTCCCAGCCGTATTGGGACCTCCCCAGACCCCCGACGTCATGTTTTTTTCATGACGTCGACCCCCAGAGGTTTGGACCCATTCCCCAGGACCGGCGTTGCATCCCGAGTCGTTTTCTGACGCTCCCGAGGCCCGGCAGGGGCCCCCAGAAGCCGAAAATGGCGAAACACCTCCCGTCGTGATTTTTTCATGACTCGAGGGGGTCTGGGTCCTGACGCTGCCCCCTGACATTCGGTCATCACTCGGGCTTCGGGCGGCGGTTCGGGACCGCTAAACGAAGAGAAACGTCAGACTTCGAACTCGAAAACCTCGAACCTCAAAGAGCCCGACCTTCACTTCCCGGCGCTGGGCGGAAGCCCGACTCCTCCTTCTCCTCCTCCCCGCTCGGGTGTTGCCAGAAGTGGTCCTGTCCCAAAGTGTCCTCAACTTTTCGCTCCATTCGGGAGCTCCCCGGGACCCTCTGGGCCTCGTGAAGGGGGCTCATGGGCCTCTCCAGATCTCCAAAGAACACGGGGACGCCCTTCCTGGGATCCGCAATCACGACTGGAACCCGGGACTCTGCATATCTAATTTTTCCCTGCTGCATTCAATCCCCGAGAAGGATCGATCCGTGAGGGTCCTGGGGCCCGAAACAATTTGATCAGGGACCGACCGTGCCGGGATTCCTATAGGCCTGCCACGAACTGTTCTTAGAACCCAGAAGTGCTCGAATAACAAAAAACAATGTTCTCAGGACATAGAGCCGAGATGTTAAAACAAGACAGCCCCAGCCAGAAATGTTCTAAGGGCATTTCGTACAAACCACAACAGGTTCTTAGGACACTCTTTGGCAGGCCTAGAGGCGAGCCAGGACGCTTCGCCACTGCTTGAACAATGCAGGACCACCCGTTGCGGCAACATTGCGGCGCCAGGGTCCCGCGGATTTTTCGCCTGGCGGTTTTCTGCGGGTCAAGGCTCGGGCCTCCGGCGGCGGCCCGGGGGCGACCCGGGCACCCCCAGAATCTTAAGAAGCTGCCGACGAGGCGCAGCTGCTGGGGAGCGGCCCAGGGCGGGAAGAGCTCCAGGAGCCCACGAGGGCGCCCGGGAACGACGCCAGGATCCCAGGGCTGGGTCCCAGGTTCCATCGCTCCCGTCTGGATCTTTTGTCCACGCGCGGTCCCTGGACCTCCCGACCCTGTCCCTGGGACGTGCTCTTCCCCCCGCGTCGCTCGCGGGCGGCCCCGGGGCCGGTTGAGGGCCCCTGGAGGCCAAGACTCAGAAGGTACCTCCCGCCGTGCCTTCTTCACTGACTACCTACCAGGCCACCCCAACCCAACCCGACGACCCGAATTTCGGGTTGGGGGGGGGTAAGGGTTCCACATGTGTTTTTACGATGTTTCCCGAACCCCCCCCAACTGGAAATCGAGGGTAAATCTGAGCCCTCGGGTTGGGTTGCGGTGGTTTGGTGGGTGGTGATTCACAACGCGAGCACGCCAGGACTTCAGGCTTGGGCCCGGGACACCCTGCCGGCAGCACCCCACCCGCGGCGGGCCTGTCCAGGAGCTCCGCGGCCCGCCGGAGCGGCACCAGCGGGCCCGGGGGGCCGGGCCAAGCCAGCAGCCCGGTGCACTGCACGTGGGCCAGCTGCGCGTCCTCCTCTCGGCGGCACGCCAAACAACAACAGACAGCCATCCCGGACCCAGAGGCCCAAGGCTCCACGAAAATCGGAGAGGTCGGAATTGGCAATGTTCGGCCTCTGGGGGCCCTCCACGGGCCCCAAGACCGTCCAAAAACTAAGGAAAAAAAGCGGTCCTGGTCCAGACTTCCTGGGCCTCCCTAGAAGTCCCGGCACCGCTATTTGTCCTAAAGGGCGATTTTGTTGTGTTTCTGGCCCCAGAGCCATCACGAATCGATCTGGCTCGAAAAGTGCCTCAGGAAAGGGTCGACGGCTGCGACCGATTTCTGTTGCGCGTCTTCCTTCTCGGCGGCGCACAAGAAAAAACATACACTCATGATTTTCCCAGAATGCAGCTGTTCTGCAGGCCAAGGCAAGTCTACTTGCATTGAGGGGGGTGGGAATGGGGGTGTGGCGAAGCCCGAAATAAATTCTGGACTTCACGCAAGCTGGGACTCACTTGCACGCCTTTCCGGCCCAGCTCTGCAGTGGGATTCGGTCAGTTTCAAACCACCGAATCGGACCTCCCAGGAGTTGCAACCGAGCCCATGCTCCAGACATGAAGACGGCGTAAGACACGACAAACACGACTCACATGTACTATTTATTGGATTGATGCTGCAGACCAACCTATATACCAATCTCGCATTCTTGTTTACCCAATACCGATACCGCTTCTTCCCGGATCTCTCCCGGCGTACATTCTGAACAGAAATGCAATGGAGAATCCAGCCGTTGCGACGAGGGAAGGGCAGCAATATCGGCAACTTTGCCTCCTCTGCTAATCCAACCCGCAGCAAGACCGAGACCCCCGACGCTGCCATTTTCTCACAACGCGTGCCCCCAGAGGTCCCATTCCCCAGGACCAGCTTTTCGTTCCGCGTGGTTGTTGACGGTCCTAGAGCCTATAGGGCCCAAAGAGCCAGAGGCCACCCCCAAAAAACCTGCCGTCGTGATTTCTGTTCACGAGCGAACATGTCGGCGCCTCTCCCTCCTCTGCAGTGCCTCCTCACGAAAACCCGCCACCCTCGCCCGGCCCTCTCTGCGCGCCGCCGGCGATCGCCTTCTGCACGTCCGGGCCCTTCGCCAGCCACTTCCTGAAGGAGTCCTGACGCAGCGGAGGCCGTCCGAAATCTTCGGCGGGCTTTCGCTGCGCTCTCTGCCGCTCTTCCCAGATCCCCTGGCGCCGTGAAAAATCACGACGAGACATTTCTTGCTACTGAAGAATCAGTGAACTATTTCCCGTCGCGATTTTTCCACAACTTCCCATGGTAACAAAAAAACGGTCCTGGGAAATGGGTCGAGACCTCCTGCTGGGATGGGCGGGGGACTTGCTTAGTCCTAGTTTGCCTTCCGAAAGGTTCGTGCGGCGTCGGCGCGCGGAAAGGTATTGTTTTCACAGCGTCGATCGTTCAACATTGAGTCGATCGCGGCCCCGATCGTTCAAGGTTGGATAACGTCGGGTTCAATGTCATCACCATGTCCGCCAGGACTTCCGCGTCACAATATGCAGCCTTGAACGCCTCGATGGTGTCGCCTGCGCGCCAATGCCGAGTGAGCCTACCGTGCAAAGCTTGGCCGAATCGTCAGTGGTTCGCCGCCCCTGGAGCGAAGCGCACCGTCCCGCTGGAGAACGCACTGCCCCGACGAAAAATGCACCAGCCCGGCGGAAAGCGCAGCATCCCGACGGCGCAAGCACACCAACTCGACGACGCATCGAGAACTGCTGTCTACTTGCTTGCACGTGTTGGATCTGGTAGTGAGCTGCGTCATCTTGGCCCAGGAACGCGTGGCTCGCCAGCATGTCGGTCGGCGCGGGGATGGCGCAACCCACAGCGCGCCCCATGGCGCAACACAGGGCGCATCGCGCACCCCACGGGGCAACCCATGGCGCACGAATTATGCGCAACAAACGCTGCAGATTAGGGCGCCAATAAAACCCAAACCATGGACCGAGCTACGGCGAAGCCCGCAGCGCAATCAATGGCGCGACCGATGGCGCAGCGCACGGTTCGTACATACATATGGCGCGTCCATGCAGCGCTACCATGGCGCTCGGCGGACTCGCGAGGCGAACAGCTTCATAATACATAGCGGAACCAATCGCGCACCTACGGCGGAAGCTACGGCGCCAATCATGGTGGGCCAGAAGGAGGCGCGCAAACTACGTCGCCGTTTCTGGCCCAAGTCGCCCCGTTGGTGAAAAGGTCTGCTGCGGCCAAGCTTAAGCGGACTCGGCTGGCTGAGCTGGCAGGCGCGACATTCGTGACTGCATCTGCCCTCAGCGCCATTCAAGATAAGGTTTCTGGAAATGGCGAGGGGCTGGAGGGCACGTGCGGGCGCTGCTGCCGTGGGGCTCATGACGAGGAGCGTCAGACCACGACTGATTACGGCCAGCTCTTCACGAGCACCGTCCCGCCCCAGGCCACAGGCGGAGCTGGGGGTAGATGCAGTCACGCATGTCGCGCCTGCCAGCTCCGCCAGCCGAGTGCGCTTAGACAAGAACCACCACAGCCTGTCTCCGATGGGACGACTCCGTCCAGAAACAGCGACATGATTCGCGCGCCCCTCTCTGGAATGTTTAGCCTCGTGTGTCGCGCCGCAAGCTGTGTCTTTGGTTGCGCCAAAGTTTGCCCCAGGCGTCATCCATGAGCCGCAAAACGACGTTCTTTGCCGCCATGCGAAGTTGGCTGCGTCGCGCACAACATACACACAAACTCGCAAAGCGCGATGAAAAACTTGATCTCCACCAACCCGAATGAAAATGCACCGTCCCAGCGGAACAATGCACCGTCCCGACGGAAACTGTACCGCCCCGACGGACAACGCACTATGCCGACGGAAGACGCGCATGTTCGGTTAGGACTTGCTCAACCCCGCCAAGGAGAGAATTGCGAGTCACGTAGGATACCACGTGGAGCTATTAATGATTTGCATTGGACTGACTAGTGAACTGCTAAGGACGTACAAGTCCACCAGGGAAGCCGGCTTTGCGTGGCCCTGCTGGCCGGCTTCTTCTCTAAGAACCCTCTCAGCTTTCCCAAGAAGCTATCCGGGAAGAAACTCTCCCCCCACCAATACGCTTCCGTAGAACGTTCCCCAGACGTATCTCCAGCGTCCCCAGCAGAAGCTCGTTCACCTAGACGTTCCCGTCGAACGTCCCCCAGACGTCAGAAACTGAGCAAGCCCCCCGCCCATCGCAGTGGGGGTCGGCGCTGCGAAACGAAATGACGTCGGACGTCCAGGTGGTGGCCTCTGGTGGTTTGCGAACCCTCTCCTCCGACGGCGCACCTCTGTCCTGGCACGGCCCCCAGGGGATCTCGACCCCTGCCCTCGGGCCAGCCTCTTGCATCCTGAGCACAGCCTGTTCTACGGCCCAGTGGCCGGGAGATGGCCCCCAGGTGTCGAACACGTGTGACACCACCTGCGGGCCCGAGGAGGTGGATCGGAGGAGTCGGGCAGAGGACGTCTGGACGCGGCCGCCCTCCGACGGGTCCGGACACCCCACGCCGTGTCACAACGTGCCTCCCCAGAGGTCTCGGGCGGGTGGCCAGCGGGGGAGGGACCTGCATGGGGGGTGACGAGAAGGGCCCTACAGGGGCCCTTCAGGCCCCTTCTCGGCCCTGGCTGCGTCCCCCCAAAGCCCTGAAGGGCCCCTTTGAGATCCTTCCCTTCCACCACCCGTTCAGGTCACCCCCACGTATTGCCGCCCGCCCGAAGGTCTGGACCCCTTCCCCGGGATTCGCTTCTCACACCGAGTCGACTCTTGGCGGTCCCTGGGGCCCGGCGAGGCGTTTTTTTTTTGTTCCTCGACGCGAGGGTTAAGTCGGGCGTGTCCCCCTATAGGGCGTTTTTCGACGAAAAACAAAAATCATCCGGGCGAAGGTCCCAACCATCTGCAGTTGTGGGTACCGTAATTGTGAATATCTGCTTCGGTGAAGCTCCCTATGGGGCCACGAAGCGCTGCACTGGGCGGGGGGGGAACGCTGTACTGTGTGGGTGGTGTGCCGACTTGGGTTTCCGGGACGCATGCGGACGGTCCCACTGAGGGCTTCGGTGGAGCTCCCTATGGGGCCACGAAGCGCTCTACTGAGTGACTGAAAATGCCAAATTGGGTTTCCAGGACGCATGCGGACGGACCCACTGGGGGCTTCGGTGGAGCCCCCCATGGGGCCACAAAACGCTGCACTGCGCGGGTGAAAATGTCAAAGTACATTTCCCGGACGCATGCGGACGGTGGCACTGGGGCCTTGGGTGGAGCCCCCTATGGGGCCACGAAAAGCTGCACCACGAAACGCTGTACTGGGTGTGCGGGACGCATGCGGACGGTAGCACTGGGGCCTTGGGTGGAGCCCCCTATGGGGCCACGAAGCGCTGTACTGGGTGTGCGGGACGCATGCGGACGGTAGCACTGGGACCTTCGGTGGAGCTCCCTATGGGGCCACGAAACGCTAACTGGGACCTTCGGTGGGGCTCCCCATGGGGCCACGAAACGCTGTACTGGGTGGGTGAAACGCATGGTAGAGGGAGGAGGGAGGAGGAGGGGGAAGAGGAGGAAGAGGAGGAAAACGCGGGGACCGTCTCTTCAAAACGAAGACCCAACACCACAGGATGGTTGGGAAATACTACAAAAATACCCCAAAGAAGCCCAAGAATACAACACAGTGTCCCCAGACTATTGTTTGCCTATTTTTGAATCTTCCCCCTGTATACAGGGACAGGCCCGACTTAACGCGAGGGGGACCTGGGTCTCGAGGCGGCCGTTCTTCGACCCAGGTCGCCTGGCTTTCTCGCTTCGAGGCCGACCCCCGCCGAAGGGCAAACGCCGCGCTCCGAAGGCGCTCCAACCTCCATCGGGGGCGGCCAGGAGGGGGGGTGTCCAAGAGGAGGGGGTGCAGATCATGACCGGCGGCATGTGCGCGGCCCAGCGGGGGGGCCAGGGACGCAATGAAATAAGAAGAGGCGCCATGAAATCTGGGGAAATATCATGGCCCCCGCCATGAGATCCCCCCCCCTAGTCATCACCCCCCTCTTTGCCGCCCCCGACTCCAGGGCGGTGCGCCGACGAGGCGAAGTGGACCCTCGTCGGTGCCCCGAACCACGCTTCTTCACGAACGCGGAATATAGCTTCTGAGTGGCCAGCTCCGACCAAGAAGGACGCGCGAGGCGCAGCGATCTTCGCGCGCTCCTGCGGCCCCCCTGGAGCAGCGCGCCCTTCCGGCTCCTACCGGGAATGCCTTCGCGCCCCCGAGGGTGACTGGGTCGTGGCTTACGGGGCACGGACGTACACAAGATCCACCGCCCAGGGAACTGGTCCTCCAGGCGGCGAAGATGCAGGAGTCCCCTGCCTCGCATGGCGGTTCCGACCATGTGCAGGTAAAGGGGCATCACAACAAACACCAGCAGAAACATAAACTTTCGGAGGTCCGTGCGGTCTTCCTGTGCTGGCAACTGGACCAGCCCCCTCTCCTGGCGCGGCCACGTGCGGCAGCGGAGGCGGCTCCAGCGCCGACCAAAGAAATCTCCGCGAACCTACGACACTTGATGCGCCCGCCGAGGAAAGCGAAGGGACCGAGGGGAGATGTGACGAGGGGGGCTGGCTCAGGGGGAGAAACACCGAGCTGGCATCGGCGATGCATCGCCGATCCATCTGCACAGAGCACCCCATCCGCATGTTTTTTGGCGGGGTGGTCTGTTAGGCCCTGGTGTCGGCGACGGACGGGCGATTGGGGATCGCTGCGCCGCCCTGTGGCCAACCCCCCCTTCTGAATAATGCTGCCTCCTGGCCTTCGGAGCACAGATGAGCAGAGCTCTCCAGCGGCCGGTCGGGACGATCTGGGCACCCCGGGGCGCCCGTCGGCGAGGCGCAGCCGCTGAAACGCATCCCGAGGCTGGAAAGCCGTCCGAGAGCCGGGTTTCGCATGGCCCCCCAGATGTGCGCGGCCGCGCGCGGCTGGGAGGCAGGATGGGGTGCGGCCGATCAGGTCGCACCCGCCACGCCGAGACAGGACGGCCCACCTGCCCCAGGCTGCGATCCGGCCGGGAAATGGAAGCTCCTGGACACTGCAGCCGAGGCCGGCCCAGACATCGCCGACGCTGCGTTCTGGTGTTCACCACGAGGCTAGCCCCACCCAGGCCTGAACACCTTCCCAGGGACCAACGTTCCTCCCTGAGAATTTTAGAAGGTCCCTGGGTCCGTGAGGGCCCCCAGTGCCGAATATCGACAGGACCTTCAGTCGTTGTTTTTCTCAGGACGCGAAGATGTGCCACGACAAGCCCCAAGGGCTCCTGCTGGCTCGGCGGCCAGGCGGGCCTCAAGACATGGGAGTGAGGGGCAACGACGGGGGGGAACCTCGACCTGCAATCGGCGATACATCGCCGATAGATCGGCGATTGGCCCCCGACGGCAAAGCCGCACGTTCATGGGCGGGGTGGGCTGTCGGGTCCTGGAATTGGCGATCAATGGACGATCGTGGTCGATGCGCACCCCACTGAGCATATCCCCTACTTGACATCGCCTCCTGGCTCTCGGGCCATAATAACTCGGCTCTCTGGCGGCCAGTCGGGACCATTTGGGCGCCCCCAGACACCTCTCGGCGAGGCGCAGCCGCAGCCGCTGAAACGTACCTCGAGGCTGGAAAGCCGCCGACAGCCGACGAAAACACCCGATCATGTCCAGCTTCGAACCTCCAGCTTCGGGCATTCGGGCCCCCAAGGTTGCGCCTGAGACCAGGCCACGGGCCAAGGCGCAGAGCTCGCGGCGGCGACCTCGCGGCCATCGGCTGAAGGCAGAGATCACGCAGCCTCGTCTCTGCCAGAGGGATCGGTGTCCGAAAATATGCCCGACGATACGCCCGAGTGCGACCCAGATCGGCGCAGATCGACCGCGCACCAGTGTGACCGAAATGTGTGGCTCGAAACCCATGCGTTTTTTTGTTGTTTCGGCCATCACATCGATCACACTACGCTTTTGGTCGTAAGTTTGGACGCGTATTCGGTCGTCGTCGATTCTTGTGGGCCACAGACCTTTTCGTTTGGTAGGGCTAGGCCGGGCCTCTCCCCCTACAGGCGGATTGTGACAGAAAAAACCATATTCAAAACATACCCCCCAAATAGTCGAACCAGACGTCCCCAGACTATCTTGTAACTATGATTGAGTTTTCCTCCTGCAGAGGGACACGCCCGACTTCATGATAGGGGCTGGGCGACATAACAGATCCCGAGCGCACGGTCCAGCTTCAGCGTCTGCTGCGGCGCCGCCCCCGCCGCGGGCACCTGCTGCTCTCCGCCGCCGCCGCTCGGCGCCGCTGGGTCCGCGGCGGCACCGCGCGGGGCGGCGGGGCCCTCCTTCGAGAACAGAAAACCCCAACATGGTGGCGTCGTTGCTCAAACATGTGACCCCCCCAAAAAAGCGTCTCGCCGTTTTTACCTCTGGAGGCCCTCGCCAGGCCTCGGTAACGTCCAAAACCTGCTCGGGCTGAGCACCTGGCCCTGGGACTTCCAAGGACCGTGCATTGCGCAAATGCCCGACGTCTCATGGCAGAGGGGACCATTTCTCATAATATGCCCCCCCGGCACGCGAAGCCATTCGGAAAACGCACCTAGTAGGGAAAAAATCTGACGGGGCAGGGCTCTTTTCCACAATCGCCCAAGACGATTGTTCAGCAAACGCCAGATGTGGGGGTCTAGGTGTTTGTTCCTCCTAGACGCTCGACGATTAGATGTTTTCAATGCGCGGCCCCAGAGGTCTCGTCCCCTTCTCCCAACGGCCTGCCTGTTGTCCGCCCCGGATCCCTTTGTGATGGCTCCGAGGGGGGGACCGAAACTTTTGGAAAACCGTCAGGAAGGCAAACAAATCCCATCGGGGGAGATTTGGGCCCATTTGATTTCTTACCCTCGGCCACGGAATGGCTGGCAAGCAAGAGTTCTAAGGGGCGAGCTGCTTCCCTGAGATCAGACGACACGAAAACAGCTGGACATCGCTACAACAAAAAAACACTGACCAGAGGCCTCGACCCCGTCTTTCCGCCGCATTTCCCGAGCCACATCGATCCGTGAGTGTCCTGGAACCCGGTGCAAATGCAACATCGCGCGTGGTTAAACAAAAACTGCGACGCCAGGATCCCGCGGATTTTTCGCCTGGCGGCTTTCGGGTCATAACTCGGGCCTCTGGCAACCGTTCGGGGCGGTCTGGGCACCCCCGGAAAGCTCTCGACGAGGCGCAGCTGCTCGAAGACATCCTGAAGCGGGAAACCTCCAAGAACCATAGAAAACGGCCCGAAAACTACGCCAGGATCTCAGGGCTGGGTCAGGGACACCTCTCCAGCAACACTCAACCTGCAACACCCTCCCATGGCTGTCCACCCCGCTTGAGCAGGGGCCGATCTTCCTGGCGCTCCTACAGGCCCACCGCGACACGCTCTCAAACAAAATCGTGCTCCGATGACCAAAGCCTCCTCGCCAGGACACGAGGCCGATTGGTCGTGACCAGGCTGCCGCGCAACCCGCACGACGCTCTCGGAGAATCTCCTGCCGGGCCCCTCGGCCCGCACAGGCGCTTCGCCACAGCCTGGCCCTTGGCTGTGGACGCCCGAAATGGGTACGAACAGAACGGGTACAATGCCCAACAATTGTGCTGCGCCCATCGTGCTTCAGGACCCCATTCCAGACATAATTTCGAGCACCCGGAAAAGTGTCGAAAGAGTGTCGAAAGAGTGTCGAAACAGTGTCGGACGAGTGTCTCCCAGGGCCCGACACGTAAAAACCCTGGAGTTTTGGGGTACCTTTCTGGCGGTCGAAATTCTTTCTGGTGATCAAGGCTAAAGTAGGTTGGAACATCATAACCCAACAACAAATATTGTCCTGAACCAACAGCAGCCGCTGTTGGGCAAGCGGCCTTCTGTCTCAAACGGACACAATCCGCGGCGACGCCGACAGCGAGTGCTGTTCGAAAGGAACAAGAACTGCTGCTGGGCCTCGTGCCCACCCTTCCCGGGCCCATTTCTGTCGTCCCCGATTGGCTCCTGGCTCTCAGCCGCGGGGCAGGCCTCTTGAGCAGGGACCGACCGTCCCGGCATTCCTATAGTCCTACCACGAAATGTTCCTAGAACCCAAAAGTGTTTGAAGAACAAAAACGATGTTCTCAGAACGTGAACCTGATGTGTTAAGACAAGACGGTCCCAACCAGAAATGTTCTGAGACATTTCGTGGGAACCACAAAAGGTCCTTTGTTTCGTAGGACTATAGGCAAGCCGGGACGCTTCGCCACTGCTTGAGCCTCGGGGGCCTCGGCGCCCGTCCGCCGCGGGGGGACCAAACCTGGGCGCGCCAGCCGCTGTCCCTGCCTCGTTTTCGGCCATCTGGGGACCCATCTGTGCCCGCACCAGAACGCCACTCCGGCGAAAGCTCACTCTTACGCCCATAGTCGATGCTGTTGGGCCTCGTGCCCACCCTTCCCGGGCCCATTTCCGTCGTCCCCGATTGGCTCCTGGCCCTCGGCCGCGGGGCAGGCCTCGGGGGCCTCGGCGCCGACCGCCGCGATGGCGCACCGCGGGGCCTCCGGCGCCCGCTCCGGCCCCGGGGCGGCCGCGGCGCCCGAGGCGCTGCCCCTCTCGCGGGCCGGCGCGGCGCTGGAGGCGTTGCCCAGGGCGGCCCGGGACGCGGCGGCCGCAGACACGGCCTGGAGGAGGGCCAACTCGCCGAGGGGCTGCACGCAGGAGGTGGTGGGCCTGCATGTTTTCCACCACCACCGCCACCCTATCTTGGAGGGGGAGGGGGTCCTCCTCCTCCCACCTCCTCCTCCACCTCCTCCTCGTCCTCCTCCTCCTCCTCCTCCTCCTCCTCCTCCTCGTCGTCATCCTCCCCCCTCCAACTTCTGGTGGTGGTAATGGTGGAAAACAGGCCCATCAGGAGGTGGCCCTGGGCAAGACGTGGCCTCTGGTGCGCGGCCGAAGGGGGGGGGGGCTGACCCAGCTGCCCCGATACGCCACAGACAGCACGCACGCAGCTTAGACTGCTGAAGACGTAGGTCTGGCCCGATACGTTCGCCAAAAAATGGACCAGCACGTGCCGAGCCAACACGCTGCGTGTTGACGGGGACGTTTCGAACACGGTACATGTTGCGTATCAAAACGGGCGTATCGGGCAGCTAAGGGGGAGGGGCCCTTTGGGGACACCACCAAGCGCGCAAGCCGCTGCCATCGCATCGCACTCAGCAGTCAGGGGGGGCCATTGGGCCCGCACCAGAGGTTACTTCGGCGAAAGGTCACTCCCGCGCGAGACCCACTCTGCAACGCGAGCAATTTGTTTTCACAGCGGGCGACTTCTTACCCTGCTTAGGGCCCTGGGGCCCTCACGCATCGACCTGGCTCAACCAATGATGCAGAAAGATGGGGCCTGGGGCTCCAGTCGAGTTCGTCCTACGACGTTGCAATCTGTTCGAGGCAACGGATCTCAGGGCGGACCAGGCCGCCGAATACCCTCGAAAAGGCACGCGATGGACGGGGGCGATCGAGGCACGCCCCGGCCGGGACGGGGGCGAGATCCAGACATCCGACGACGTGATTTTTCAGAGGCCTGGGGGGGGGACCCAGCGGATTCCTTGGTGGCAGCTGGCAAACAAGCCCCCTGCGCCCTTCGAAAGCCTGCGCAATGCGCCGCAATTCAAAGTACCAGAGACAGGGGGAATTAGAAGCGGATGCCAAGTCGGTTATATCTGGCCTCCCCTAACTTCTCAGCGGGTTCCCCTGGGCTGAGTGGGCTCCGCCCACTTCGCCTGGAGTTGCGCAGCCCCCTTAGACAACTTGGGGCACCTGTAACCCACCTGCAAGCTAGGCTAGCTCGGCGAGATATCGCCCACCTTAGCGCCCACTCTCGGGAGCGGCCAAGAGGGGGGTGTCCAAGAGGGGGGGGGGTGCAAATCATGACCGGCGGCATGTGCGCGGCCCAGCGGGGGGGCCTGGGACGTAATGAAATAAGAAGCGGCGCCATGAAATCTGAGGAAACATCATGGCCCGCGCCGTGATGTCCCCCCTCCCTCCCCAGTCATCACCCCCTTCTTTTCCGCTCCCGACACTCCTGATCCCAGCGGCCACCCCGGAACACCTGACCACCGCCGCACCGCGGAGGCGCCTGCACGAACGACGAGAGAGGCGCGGCCGCGCGGGGCCCGGCGCTCTCTGCGATCGCAGCCGGGTCGCGCGGCGTCGGCGGGCCCGCGCGGGCCCCCCCATCCAAGAGGGCCCCCAAGAGGGGCCCGGGCCCACAAGAGCGGCCCAGGTGCTTCAGAGGTGCCTCCAAGAGAGGTGCCCCCAAGAAGACCCAAGAGAGGGGCCCGAGCAGATCCTCTCGGGGGTCCCAAGAGATGCCCTGGGAAGGCCCCTGGCCTGGGCTGCAGGTAGAGCCGGCGTCGTGCACTTCAGCGAGCCTCAGATCACACACGAAGGGGCTTTGTATGACGACAGCGAAGCAGAAGCAGGTTCCCGAAGTTGGCACCTTTGAGCGGTTTCTTGAGGCGTAGGTGCCCCTCATTAGGCACATGTGCTCCTTACTTCAACGCTGTGCCTGTATGGCCCTGCTACGCATGCACCCAAAGCTGAAGCCGGAGCGAGCCTCTCAAATACTCAAAGTGCACACAGTCGAGCTACCCGAATGCCCTACCATAAGCCCGGTGCCCTGCCTATACATAAAATGATATAAACACACATATCCACATAAATGAACATACATGTGTACATATCTGTTACATAATTATGTACAACTGAACGCGTGCGCCCATGGTGGGCACCCAGACCCTGGACGTATTGATCTAAGGGCTCTTCAGAGCCCTCGATCACTCCCCCCAAATCGGGTGTGTTATCCGGAAGCGTGTGTTGACGGCCCCGGGTCCCGTGCTGGAGCCCATAGCAGCCTCCAGAAGCCGGAGTTGAGGAAAGAGCACCCGTGCCGAACAAAGCACGACGTCGGAGGCCAGGGTTTACGAGAACGTGCGTGTACGCGCCCGTCTCGCAACTGCGACCCTCCTGACTGAACCCTTTCTGGCCGTGGTGCTCCCGATCACTCTCGTCTGGGTCTGTGGGCAACCCCTGGCCCTCAGAGGGGCCCGGCGACCGCCCCCGAACTCCGACGTCGCGACGCAAAATCACAACGTCGCTGAAATTCAAGACGAGAACTACCTGCCCCACCTTGAGGCTCTCTTCGAGCCGGAAAGATCCGCGGAAGCCAGGGAGCCCGAAACGGCGCAGGAACGCCCGTCGCGACCTTTGTGGACATCTCTCGGAGCTCTGGGTGACACATACGGTGAGGGCATTGGACAAAAGGAA